GAAGCAGACTCCGTCTGCAAAAAAAAAACAAAAAAAAGAAGGCCAGGCGCGGTGGGCTCAAGCCCTGTAACCAGCACCTTTGAGGAGGCCAGCGGGTGCGATCACGAGGTCAGGAGATCGAGACCATCCTGGCTAACACGGTGAAACCCCGTCTCTACTAAAAAAAATAACAAAAAACTAGCCGGCGAGGTGGCGGGCATCCTGTAGTCCCAGCTACTCGGGAGGCTGAGGCAAGAGAATGGCATAAAATCCCAGGAGAACACCTCACTTTATAGCAGGTGGCCACAGGTGTTTTGAAATCCGGCTAGGGAGAGGCTGATTTGGGTTTAGGGCTGGGGGTGAGTGTATTTACGGGATTCTGGCCCTTTGCGGGTACAGTTACATTATTGCTAGGTGCTCCAGGTGGCATTCGGGAATATTCCTGATGCCACTGTGCTGTCTTCCTGAGTGTTGTGCTCTGAAGGTGCTGAATCAGAGATGATATGATGCCCAGCCCCAGGAGTACAAGGGCATTGTAAGAGAAATAAAATCTGAAATGCAGGAAGCCAGAAATAGTGTGTGAAAAATCCTTCCAAATACACAGCTCACATATGTAAGATATTTTATAGCAGTTGCTCCAAATGTAACAACAATCATTAAGAGTTAAATAATCTTAACCAATGATGAATTGCCAAAGCTGAAGGGAAAATAAGTTCCTAAACTATCACTAATAACAAAACGTAATTTTGATCACTTATGGGGTAAGAGGAGAAGGCTGAATTATCTTTATCCAGTCCTGCTATTAAAGAATTATCCCTGGCCAGGCCAGGCCGCGGTGCTCAAGCCGGTGTAATCCAGCGCTTGGGAGGCCAAGACGGGCAGATCCGAGGTCAGGAGATCGGCGAGACCACCTGGCTAACCGGTGAAACCCCGTCGTCTACAAAAAATACCAAAACTAGCCCGGCGAGGTGGCGGGCGTCTGTATCCCCAGCTACTCAGGGAGGCTGAGGCAGGAGAATGGCATAAACCCGGGAGGCGAGGCTGTGCAGTGGCTTGAGATCGCGCCCACTGCACCGCCAGCCCTGGGGCGACAGAGCGGAACTCTGTCTCCAAAACACAAATAATAAATAAAAATAAAAATATCCTGGTCCAGGCGCAGTGGCTCACACCTATAATCCCAGCCCGTTTGGAAGGCCAGGCGGGCAGATTCGCGAGGTCAGAGTTTGAGACAGTCTAGCAACAGGATGAAACCAATCTCTCTAAAAGTACAAAAAAATAGCTGGGCATGAGTGGCAGGCGCCTGTATCCCAGCAACTCAGATCTGGGGCAGGAAAGATCATTTGAACTGGAGACGGAAGTTGTGCCATGAGCCGGTATCCATCCATTCATCTCCAGCTGGGCAACAGGGCGAAGACTCCTCTCAGAAACAAACAAAAATCGTGACTGCCGCAGGCACA